GACACTTCTGAGCAACACTTCTGAGTGACACTTCTGACCAACACTTTTGAGGAACCCTTTTCATCAACACTTCTGAGCAACACTTCCGACCCACACTTCTCATTGACACTTCTGAGTGACACTTTTGAGCGACACCTAATCAACACTTCTGAGCCACACTTTTTCTGATCGACGCTTCTGAGCAGCACTTCTGAAAGACACATTTTCTGATCGACTTTTTTGACACTTCTGAGCGACACTTGTGAGCAAGACCTGACCAACACTTCTGAGCGACGCTTTTTCTGATCGACTTTTCTGAGCAACACTTCTGATTGACACTTCTGAACAACACTTTTGAGCGACGCCTGATCAATCACTTCTGAACCACACTTTTTCTGATCGACGCTTCTGAGCAACACTTCTGAGCGACACTCTTTCTGATCGACTTTTCTGAACAACACTTCTGATTGACACTTCTGAGCGACAATTTTGAGCGACACCTAATCAACACTTCCGAGCCACACTTTTTCTGATCGACGCTTCTGAGCAACACTTCTGAACGACACTGGTTCTGATCGACTTTTCTGAGCAACATTTCTGATCGACACTTCTGAGCGACACTCTGAGCAACACTTCTGATCGACACTTCGGACCGACACTTTTGAGGAACCCTTCTCATCAACACTTCTGAGCAACACTTCCGACCCACACTTCTCATTGACACTTCTGAGCGACACTTTTTGGCGACACCTAATCAACACTTCTGAGCCACACTTCTTCTGATCGACGCTTCTGAGCAACACTTCTGAACGACAGTGGTTCTGATCGACTTTTCTGAGCAACACTTCTGATTGACACTTCTGAGCGACTTCTGAGCGACACTTTTTCTGATCGACTTTTCTGAACAACACTTCTGATTGACACTTCTGAGCGACACCTGATCAATCACTTCTGAACCAAACTTTTTCAGATCGACACTTCTGAGCAACACTTCTGAGCGACACTTTCTCTGATCGACTTTTCTGATCCACACTTCCTGACCGACACTTTTGAGCAACACTTTTGATCCGTGCCTCTGATTGACACTTCTGATCGACAGTTTGAGCAGCACTGCTGAACCACACTTCTGACTGACGCTGATGAGCAACACTTCGGATCCAAATTTCTCATCGACACTTCTGATCAACACTTCTGAGCCACACTGCTCATCGACACTTCTGAATGACACTTCTTAGCAACGACACTTCTGAGCGACACTTCTGAGCAACACTTCTGATCGACACTTGTGAGCGACACTTTGAGGAACCCTTCTCATCAACACTTTTGAGCAACACTTCCGACCCAAACGTCTCATTGACACTTCTGAGCGGCACTTTTGAGCGACACCTGATCAACACTTCTGAGCCACACTTTTTCTGATCGACGCTTCTGAGCAGCACTTCTAAACGACACTTTTTCTGATCCACTTTTCTGAGCCTCATTTCTGATCGATACTTCTCAGCAACACTTTTGATCCGCACTTCTGGTTAACACTGCTGATTGACAGTTTGAGCAACACTGCTGAACCACACTTCTGACTGACACTGATGAGCAACACTTCTGATCGAAATTTCTTATCGATAGTTCTGAGTAACACTTTTGACCAACACTTCAGAGCCACACTGCTCATCAACACTTCTGAACGACACTTAGGAGCAACACTGCTGAATTGACACCTCTGAGCGAATTGCCACTTTTGAGCGACACTTCTGAGCAACACTTCTGATCGACACTTCTGACCGACACTTCTGAGGAACCCGTCTCATTAACACTTCTGAGCAACATTTAACACTTCTGAGCGACACTATTGAGCGACACTTGGTTAATACTTCTGAACCACACTTTTTCTGATCGACTTTTCTTAGCAACGTTCCTGATCGACACCTTTGAGCAACACTTTTGATCCGCACTTCTGCTTGACATTTCTGATCGACAGTTTGAGCAACACTGCTGAACCAGACTTCTGATTGACACTGATGAGCAGCACTTCTGATCTACACTTCTCATCGATAGTTCTGAGCAACACTTCTGAACGACACTTCTGATCCACACTGCCTACCGACACTTTTACACGACACTTCTGAACAACACTGCTGAACTGACACTTCTGAGCGATACTTTTGAGCAACGCTTCTGATCGTTTCTTCTGATCGACACTTCTGACCGACACTTTTGAGGAACCCGTCTCATCAACACTTCTGAGCAACAATTGACATTTCTGAGCGACAATTTTGAGCGACACTTCTGAGCCACACTTTTCTGATGGACACTTTTTGAGCAACACTCCTGATCGACACTTTTGATCCGCACTTCTGCTTGACATTTCTGATCAACAGTTTGAGCAACACTGCTGAACCATACTTCTGATTGACACTGATGAGCAACACTTCTGATCCAAATTTCTCGTCGACAGTTCTGAGCAACACTTCTGACCAACACTTCTGATCCACACTACTCATCGACACTTGTAAACGACACTTCTGAACAACATTGCTGAACTGACACTTCTGAGCAACACTTTTGAGTAACACTTGAAGCGTCGATTAGAAGTGTTGCTCAGAAATGTCGCTCGAAAGTGTCACTTCAGCAAAATTGCTCAGAAGTGCCGATAAGCAGGGTGGATTAGAAGTGTTGGGCAAAAGTGTTGCTTAGAATTGTCGATGAGAAGTTTGGATCAGAAGGTGTTAATGAAAGGTGTGTTTTAGCAGTGTTGCTCAAACTGTCGATTAAAAATGTCAACTACAAGTGCGGATTAAAAGTATTACTCAAGTGTCGATCAGAAATGTTGCTTACACAAATCGATTAGAAAAAGTGTCGCTTAAAAAGTGTCCATCAGAAAAAATGTGGTTCAGAAGTGTTGATTAGGTGTCGCTCAAAATTGTCGCTTAGAAGTGTTGCTTAGGCTCAAGTATTTTAACACTTTTGAATAACAATTGACATTTTTGACTAATACTTCTGTCGACACTTCCGATGAGCGACATTTTTGATCGACGCTTCTGAGCGACACTTTTAATCGACACTTTTGAACGACACTTTTAATGGACACTTGTGATCGGCACTACTGAACGAAATTTTTGTCTCCAAATGCGCGCCGCGCCACAGCGAGAGCGATTCGACCCACCCAAAGCACGTAGAGGGTTCGCTTTGCGCGCTCAAAATGTGCACCGCGCCACAGCGACTCGACCCAGCCAAAGTGCACAGAGGGTTTGTTTCGCGTTCTCAAAATGTGCACCGCGCCACAGCGAGAGCGATCTCGCTGAGTCAAAGTGACGTGCCTGCCACGAAATCTACACCCAGGCACCAAAGTATTACGACTACCGCGAAATTTGCAGGAAAAGCTCCAAAATGCTGCGCCTGCCACGAAATTCAACCAAAACGCTCGAAACTGCTGTGCCTGTCACGCAAAGTAAGCTTGCCACAAACTCAAGATCATCCAAGCCGCTGGACCTGCCACGAGATCCAACTTTGACACCTTTACGACACGCATCCAAAACTAGCACGGGACTGTGGCGCCAGAATGATTTCAACCAATTTTGGCACGTTTCAGGCCCGCCAAAACGAGCCGATTGGGCCAACGAAAACGGCGCCGGCGCAAACGCTGTGATGCGCTTGCCAAGCAGGAAGCCTAAAAGCGACTACCCCTAGATCGCAAATCCCAATGGCGTGGCAACGAGCACACGCAGCCACACGTCGGAAACCAAGAAATTCATGGAACACGCACGGGAACCTGCGGAAACCCGCAGTAAACTTGGCCCGCGAAAATGCGCGGCGCGTCGGAAAGCTGTGTGGGTTTCTGGCAGGTTTCCTGGAGGTTTCTACTGGCTTGAAGAACGCGCGAACGCCCGGCAAAGGGGAAACCTTACCGAACCAAGTAGCCCGGGCTTCCTGTAAGTTTCACTGATCTATTCATCCATGTTCATCGCGTCAAACCAGCCTCCACTGGGGATTGAGCCCATTACCTTCAGTTTACAAGACTGATGCTCTGCCAGCGCAGGTGCGCTTGGTTTGCTTGGATCTCAGCGCCAAGGGTTGTGGTTTTGTCGTGGCGGGTGATCGACGCCTCTATAGCTCAGTGGCAGATCATCAGTCTTGTACACTGAAGGTCCTGGGCTCAATCCCCAGCTCAGGCTAGTTTGCTGCGACGCGCATGGATGAATAGATCAGTTAAACTTACAGGAAACCCTGGCTACTTGGTTCGCCAAGGTTTCCCACCAACTTTGTCGGGCGTTTGCGCGTTCTTCAAGCCAGTAGAAACCTCCAGGAAACCTACGGAAAGCTCTGTTGGTCTTATACCAAAAAATGTTCTATTTTCTTAGGCTTGCGCAAAGTAATATGCATTCGAATCGTAGACTCTATCTTGTTTTGTTTTTTCTATAAAATTCATGTACAAAGTAATCAAATTTCTCATTCTCAAATTCATATCATTTTAAGTTTCAATATGTTTAATTATTCCTAATCAAATACCTCCAAATCGATATCCCTCATTAGTCCAACCTCCTATAAATAAACATTAGCCGCTAACATTAATGGTAAAACAAAGCCAATCCCGAAGCCTTATTCTCAAATTGAGCAAAATATGGCAATTGTAGCTGGACATAATCTAGCCACACATCATGCAGGGCAACTCAAGCACCTGTTATAATCGAAGTCGTCAAACATAATTTTGCAATCGATTTGCTCAATCAAACAAAAACAGCGCTTCAATCTGCGGCACTTGACAGCATGAAGGCAATACTCCGCCATACACATATATTCATTTGATCGGAAATCCAGATAGAATTTGCCAACTCTTATCGTCATGCTCGGAAGACGGTTCTCCCCATAGATTTCTGAATCCTCATTTTCCACTTAAGTTTTGGCGTATCGAAAGCCTGGAGTAGCACATTGCCATCCCAAGCGATACAGAATCAACCTCAGCTCTTATGGGAGGCTCGGAATCACTCACTCCTGAGGACATCGCCGTGCCATTTTCTGGCCACCAATCACGCTGGGCTCCACTCTTTGGTGGTAATCCTGGCACTACGGGCGTGAATTTTGCTGGGGGGCGCCTTGGTGGATATGATTTAGGTGGGGATTCATGTCCACCAACCGCTTTTTGAGGTGGTTCCCTATTAAAGTTCATAGCCGCATTGAAGATGGCCCCAAGAAAACCCCAAGGACCATGGCAAGCTCCTCCGTACACCGGCCATCCAGCGCATCGGCCAAGGCGATGGGGACAACTTCTGTCCCAGGCACCTGCCAGGGTCTTCCCCGCCAGCTGAGCCCCTCGCCCTCCCGTCGCCTGGATTTTGGAAGTACCGAGCTCAAAGACAAGCCTGGTCAAGCTGCGATGATGGTCACAGGTTGATTTGTTTGTTCCAGCGATCATTGTTTTGCCCTGGATTGCAGAAGCAAGCCTCATTCGCCGCTGTAGCATGCTCCTGGGTGAAAGGGAGCTGCTCTTCCAAAAGGACCATGCTCTCCAGTCTTGCTGCAGCCATGATGCGGGAAACAGGTGTAGCAAAGGGCACATAGGGCCATATTCGCCCATGACCTGTTTTTAGGCTGTCGGCATGAGCTCCAACATGGGCTTTGCAGCTCGGGCGCTCTCCGTTGCGCTCATCCAAGTTGTAGATCATGCAGACTCCAATCTTGCGTGGCCTTGTCACCGCAGTCAGCCTATTCGCATAGCACTGGACCTGCACCAGGAAAAAGGCCATTCTAAACCATGCTGCTGTCACCGCGCCTGGCACCTAAACATGGCCACAAAATATGCGACTGCAGGGTGACAGCAGCAAAGCAGCGGCCAGGGAGTGATCATCCTAAGACGCTTTCCATGTGTCTCCTGTCGCCTCCCTTGCCATCACCTCCCCGGCCAAGTATCAATAAAATCATCGCCAGGACCGTGCACAGGGACGGGGCCAAGGCAATATCATTGCCGCCCACCGATATCACCAGCATGTCACAGGCTCGGATGCGATCTCGAATGAGCTCCTATGCCAATGATGTGCGAAGGCAATCCAGCGCACTCAGCACCATTGAGTTCCGCCAGGTGCCTCCTGTTCATACAGCCCACCACATGAAGGCATCAAGCAGCACTGCACACCACCTACGCGACTGGCCAGAGTCCTTAGTCTCGCGCCAAATGCGCTTGCTCGATCCCATCCAGGGGCTCAGGAATGACAAGTGCATCTGCAGCTGTCCATAGGTCACAGTTGGCGCTGATTGAATTCCAAGTAAGGCGGGCTCGTTGCTTCGATGGCGGTGTTCAAGGCGAACGCTGGCGAACGCAGGTCATGCAGGATCTGGTTCATCCAGTAAGTGACATCGCAAACCATCCTGCAGAAGCAATTAAATGGTGATACAACCCAACAAATCCAGTGAGTGCCAACCTCCCTGAGCTTTGGGGACGCATGGGGACAACGTGCCAACGGGCTGTCCTTGGCGGTTGCAGGAGCCGCTCATACCCATTGGTCGCTGGCGCATGTGCAGAGGCGGGTCGCCAGCGCTCCGCAGGAGCTCCCTCAAGGGTCAATGGGAGAGCACACGGTATGAGCTCGAATTTGGCACCAATGGAACCTTAATTAAAACAAAATGCTTGTTTGCTTGCATGCGTGCCTGCTTGTCTGGCTGTCTGTCTGTTTGTCTGTCTGTCTGCCTGTCTGTCCGTCCGTCCGTCTGTCTCTGTCTGTCTCTCTCTCTCTCTCTCTGTCTGTCTGTCTGTCTGCCTGCCTGCCTGCCTGCCTGCCTGCTTGCCTGTCTGTCTGTCTGTCTTCCTCTCTCTCTGTCTCTCTGTCTATCTCTCTGTTTGTCTCTGTCCTTGTGTTGTTTGAGTGTTTGCTCGCTCGCTTGCTTGCCTGCTTTGCTTGCTTGTTTGTTTGTATGTTTGTGTGTTTGCTTGTATTGTTTGCTTACTTGTTTGCTTGTCTAATTGCTTGTTTGTTTGATTGATTTGCTGTGCCTTTCATCCACAGGACTCTGCCCAGGGATACAGCTTGCCTTTGCGCGAAATCTCGGTTCAAGACAGTCGCGCATCGTCGCATTAAGTCAAAGCCAACAAAGATTGGTGAATTCGATTTGTTTGACGGCTGTCCTGATTGAAGAGCCAGGTCTTGTTGTCCAAAGATGAATCACCCGCCAAAAAAATCCTTGCAGCATGCACTTCCTTGCAGCTGCAAAACTGCTCAACAGGGACATGTGCAGCAACTGCCAGCGGTTCAACTCCAAGACTTTCCCAGCAATTGTAGAACCAAGCTTCACAGTGGCATCTCTCACTGAAAGCAGGCCGTTCAGGACGATCTCCAATTGGCCTGAAAGCTGCTTCAAGAAAAACAAACATAGCCATTGAGCTGCTTTTGCTGCTGCAGCGCAGAGCCATTTACCTAGACAATCCAACTCAATTATTGAAGACTGGGCACATGCCGGGAGACTCTGGAAAGGTGCAAAACGATGGCCGAATCAACAGCATAATCACATTCCCGCGCAGCCCGGCCTGCATCATGCCCATGGTATGTCGAGTAGAATGGTCCTCTCTTCGCAGAGTTCCCAAAGGGACTGCATGGAACTCCCCACTCAGAGCCCAAAGATTCACATCAAAAGGTCCGGCTGGCACCGGTAACATCTCCAACTGGGCGGGAGCTCGGCGCGGCTCCGCTGGCTCCGGTGAGCAGCAGGCAAGCATTGATGCAGAATCCTGAGACATCCCACTCGAAACAAATTTCCCGATCCAGCTCTCACAAAATGCAAAATGCCGCAATGTCCTCTGAGTCATTCTCCTCATCCGCGGTCATGGATTGCCCGACAATGGCCATGAATCTGTGAATCTGTGCCTCAAACTCTATGATCCTTATCCTGTGAAGGTGGCGTTTCGTCGGAATGCTGCGCAGTTGCCGACTGCCTTCTGACAGTTCAAGATGTCGATCACTGCCTCATGCTGAATCTGCTGACCCGCGGAGTACTTGGAAGCTGCGGAAAGCTCCATGCTCAGCAGAAACGAACCAGGTACATGTGACAAGAAGTTGCGTGTTGCACAGTTAGGATCATGCGAGGCACTCAGGAAGGTGGGGTCTTTTTTGATCAAAGCGAATGCCGCGCGTACTGTTGCGCTGCTAATCCGACGTCTCCAGTCCAGCCTGGAGGGGGCATCTTTCAGCATGGCAGTATGATCGCACTGGCTCACTGTGTCCAGACCTCGTGGTTGACATGCGTCTCGGCTTGTACCTTGCACATGCTTTTCTGGCCGGTGCAATTGAAACCTCTCCCAAACCAAGCGACGGACGACCACGCGCCAGCGCCGGCGCCAGCTGTGCCTTGACCAGAAAGGAGTCAAAGAGTCAGCTCGAAGTGCACACTAGCCGCACTAGGTTGGCAACCAGACGCACGCATCAGTGATGAGAAGGCTTGCCTGGGTGAAGCTTTGCGCGGCATTGCTTTCTTCAACGTACAACTTGACTGCCAGAGTTTCAAGCCAACGAGATTGCTTACATGTGTTCCTTCAAGCACGCTCCGAGTGGGCATTTCTCAAGTAGAGGACAATGCATCGATGAATCGACGCCATACTTCTCATGACGAACTGCTCAAATATGAGAACTATGCGGAGCAACGGTGTGCCATCGCAAGTGCCATGGGTACCACATGGACTCCATCTGAGAACCACAACGACTGGGCAGGGCGCATCTTTCCGTGCAGTTGGCATGCAGCCGCTGTCTGTTCTACATCAGCCTTAGCAACGGCAACATTCCCACTTGCTCAAAGACTGCCAACTCAGTCTCTCGCGGCATCGTGCATGCTGTGCCTTGGTCTGAAGCTTCCTGGTACATGTGCAAACACATTACTTAAGGTGCCAAACGATCTGGCAAGTGGCAGCGCGCGCAGGTGGCCCAACACACAGGGTTCCATTGTCTGACTACCCAAGATAGACTTAAACCCAGGGTTTCCCTTGTGGAAATCAACCACCTGGGCTTAAAGTCTACTTTGAGAACATGGAATTATGTTAACACATGCCCCCCAAAACTCATGGTCTGGATCCAGCATCCAGTCGCGCGTACGTTGAGTGGCGGACTGGACCATGTGTTGCAAGGTCGCCAAAGCTGATACCCAGTGCGCTGAAATGCCTAGGCATTTGAAAGACACGCACTGAGGCTTGGCAGCTAGGTCTTAGTTCTGCACTGAAAATCTCAAGAGCCGTGGACAACGCACGGCGATCTGGCCTGTCACGTCGCCAAGAGATCAGACCTTTTTTCATTCTTACCTTTGGGCCCAAGTGCATTGCAGCTCTCTGCATTTCTGTGAAGATTTGCAGGGCGCCTGCCTTATTTCGAAGCAAAGATCCACCATGTCAGCACACATCCTTCCAAGGCCGTTGCCCAGTCTGCTGCGTTCACTCGTGCCTGAGCGCGCTTTGCGCTCATTGACTCACTCACGGAGAGAGTGGCCTTCATGGCAGCAGTGTCACCTACCATGCGGACCTTTGCCAGCTCTCTCATCCCCTCGCCTGCACGAGCTGGGCTTTTCTTAAATGTGATCATCGGACCATGTGCTTCAGTCGAAGCGACCCTCAACTTAGTCCCTTTGCCTGATTCCCGCCCTTGCAACGTCGCCTGATGACACCTTGTAGCTCTGAAGCAGTTCTGCAGCTTGGTTCCAGTGCATGCTTCTTTGGCACGCAACAATCGCAGCGCCAACTGCAATGCCGTTGGGGCTGCAACGAGCAAATTCCATCTCACGGAGCAATTCCACTGCTTCTGGCCATTGGAGACCACGTGCACACGCCGCAATGGCAGCACCAAAGGTTGCAACATTGGGCCGCAGGTCGTAAAGCGGCATGTCTGCCAGCATCCGAAGGGAAATCTCCCACTGACGTCCCAAACCACAAGCAGTGATGATGGAGGTGGCACTTATCAAATCTGGATGCATCTGCCCCTGCATCTGGTCAAAGAGCTGCAAAGAGCACTGCCAAAAATACTGTCTTCCCAGGGCATCTATACAGGTGGCGGCAGTGACACGGTCAGGCTCAACATTTTGTTGCTTCATGCAACTCTGCATATGGATGACTGCCTCCCATTGCTCGCCTGCTCATGCATGTGATCACGCATTTGGACAGAACAGGCGAGGCATGGTGCCAAATGAAGAAAATAGAAGCAGCACTGCCTCTTGAACAGGCATCCATGGCCGCGTTGTAGGATGCTCTGCTTGGCAGGATTTGACTCACCTGGCAGTTTCTTTTCTGCATGCGGGGAGGCACAAGCTCGACATTGCCTTTAGCTCCGAAAAGAGCTCCAGCGACTTTGGCCACTCCTAAGTGTCTCGACTGGAGACGAAGGATCGCATTAAAACACACACACACATATATATATATATATATATATATGTATATATATGTTCCCCGTCCCAGGCCCCCCCCCCCCCCCCCCCCCCCGCGGGTATCCCCCCCTCCCCCCCCCCCCCCCCCGCCCTGCCCAGCCCAGCATCCCGCGGACCCAGCAGTCCAACCCAATCTACGTCTTTCAGCTAACTCCAAACACAGCCTAACCTGAATATAAACTAACCAACCCTCAACCAGGAAACCGGGATTCAACCCTGAACCACCTTAATCAACCCCTGCCACCTGGAGGGGGGGGGGGTTGTAAAATGCCGGGGGGGGGGCGCGGGGGGCAAGAGCCTGGAACATATATATATATATATATATATGTACACATACACCTCCTCATCACCTCAAAAACATTGGAACGACTTGCTTGGCTTGGCCGAAAACCTTCGGGATCAAGCTTCAACGTGGCCGGACACCTTGAGTCCTGCTCACCCTGACTGAGAAACATGACCTGGATCGGTGTACTGAAAGCTGAGGTGAGGTCCGTTCCACGGCCGCAGCCCGAGATGACTACAGCGAGGAAGTGCGCGTCAGGCCGCAGCTTCTCAAGCTGCATCTCACGGAGCAGCTGAAGGGTGGCTTGCCACTGCAAGCCCCTGGAACATGCCTCGGGCTGCGCACAGACTAGCTTTCGCTAGCGCGATGGGGTATGTGCCAAAAAAACGGGACCCTAACAATGGTTGTTTTCCTTTTGTTTCCTCTTCAAACCAGGGCGAACAGAGTGGCATCAAAACACGCGGAATAAAAACGCACGCGCTCAAACAAACACAACACGCACGCACACAGACACACAGACACACAGACACACAGACACACAGACACACAGACACACAGACACACAGACACACAGACACACAGACACACAGACACACAGACACACAAGAAAGAAGAAGAAGAAACGCACACAAACAAACTCACACAAACAAACAATCAAACAAACAAACAAACAAAACAAGCAAGCAAGCAAACAAGCAAACAAGCAAGCAAGCAAAAAAAAACACAAAAAACAAACAAACAAACAAACAAACAAACAAACAAACAAACAAACAAACAAACAAACAAACAAACAAACAAACAAACAAACAAACAAACAAACAAACAAACACACGCAAGCACGCACGCACCCACCCACACACACACACACGCACGCAGGCAGGCACGCACGCACGCACCCACACACACACACACTCTCTTTTCAGACGCGCGCCGAGCAGCTGAACTTTGAGGGGTCCGTTGAAACAAAATAAATGGTTCAAGCCGAAACACAAGCGATCGAGGCTATGCACACTTCATCCTAGGCAGCGCCGGACATGCGAGCAACGCAATCAAATGGTTCGTGCAGGTGCGTCGACGTGATCAGCCTCGATATCCGCGTTTGCTGCGGCCGTGTCGCTGGACCATGCAAATGGTATCAAAGTAAACGAGGTGTGGGCCTCATCCTCCAAAGCTAGGTTCCACACACACAGCCGCTCAACAGGCGGCGGGAAAAGGCCATCATCACAAGGTGGGTTCGGTTTGGCGAAGGGTTTGGCGTTACTCTTGATGAGGCTTTGTAGGCAGGGCGGGTTCTTGGGTTAGTTGGTCTTCTCGGCGCGGAATGGCGTCCATCTGAGGAGTGAGTTGTGCGTCTTGATGCAAAGGCATGAGGCAGACGTGTCGGAAACCGGTTGACGCAGGGACGGGAGTGCGCGCTCGAGAATGGAGCCGAGACCTAATACGCTACCTTGCAGGCGCGCAAACAAGACAATTTCAATCTGAGCAACCAAAGTCTTCACCCAGCCCCTGAACGATGAACTCGCTCCCTGAAAAAGGTCGGGGCGCCGCCCCGTCGCGCTTGGCGCCTTGACGGACATGCCAAGCAAGAACACACTTTTCAGACGCGCGCCGAGCGTTGAGGGTTCAAGCCGAAGCGTTCGAGGCAGTGTCGGACATGCGGGCAACAAAACCAAGTGGTTCGTGCAGGCACGTCGAGGTGATCAGCCTCGATATCTGCATTTGCTGTGGCCGCTTCGTTGGACCATCGCACACAGCAACCGGATGGTCCCCCTGCAAATGGTATCAAAGTAAACGAGGTGTGGGCCTCATCCTCCATGAGCTAAGTTCTTCCGCAAACACACATTCGTTCATAAACTCACACAAACAAACAATCAAACAATCAAACGATCAAACAATCAAACAATCAAACAAGCAAACAAGCAAACAAGCAAACAAACAAACACGCTCACACACACACACCAACATACGCAACAGGTAAGTATGAGTCAAGTAGTCACTGTCAGTTGTGCAAAGCTCTCAAGGCAACAAAGCCCTGGATTTTGTGGTCCAAGATACGGTGGCCAAAGCGCTGTAGGTAAAGATGCTGGGCTGCAACAACCTTGCTGATGCGATTGGTACTGTGATGTGGCCCAATGCGGTGATCATTGACGCAAGGCAATAGCTGCAGTGCCCCGCGTTTGGCAAAACAAATTAGCATTAGTAGCCTGCCAGGGGCTTCCCAAATCAACCTCATCATCTATTTTCTTTGGGCATTGTCAAACCTCGCTCGGGCTCATCGGGGGCCTACTATGTTTGAACTTCCATGTACTGGGAGCCATTACTTGACAAATCTGCTCGGTTTCTGCTGCCAGGAGGGACCTGGAAGCCAAGAGCAGGTAAAGCCCATAGGATACAAGCGGGACAAGAGCAAACCCGAATCAAAGCATTGCTCAGTTGCCTCAAAATTGGTGGCTTCCCTTTGGCTTCCCTTTAAAACAGCATTCAACCAGTCCCTGGAACAAATAAAGACACACCCACATGATAGCCATCCAGCTAGCAAGTAGCTCTCTCCGCAAATCCTCCATGACTTGCACCGCCATCTGCCACTGCTGCTGCTTCCCCAAGTCCCCGATGCGCAACGTTCGCTTCTGGCGTCCGCGAATCGCAGGTGTTTCGGTTCGTGAGCTAAGTCCCCTGGATTTTGGGGAAGTTCAGTGAGCTCCCCTCCATCCTTCCCAACTGGACCATAGACTGGAAGCTGTGGCCGAACCTCCCATGACAAAATTCAAAATGGAGCACTGGTCGTGATTGGTGGCACAATTGGATTTTGAAAGCTTCAAAACTAAACGCCACTCTAACAGCATGCCACGTCTGGCTCTCGCGACTTTAACTGTCTGGCAACTCTCCCAAGGTTGCTGGGTGCTGCTTGAGCCCACAAGAAACTTCGAACTGAACTACTTCAACTCTTTGCCCTGTGAGGCGTTCTAAGGTACGCAGGCAGTCCCGTGGATCATGCGAAAAGTGTGTCTCAGAGAAGCCCGGCTTCAGAGCCTTGAGGCTTCTTGGAGAAGCCATCGAAGGAGTCCTGCAGGATTGCACGTTTTGGCTTTTGTCTGTTGCTTCTTGTTCTTGCCGTAGTTTCCTTCTGTGTGCCCCTTCTCCTTTCCTGCTTTCTTGCTTTCGTTCTGGTCTTTCATTCTACGTTCTATTCTCTTCATAGTGTCCTTCTCTGTTACCTTCTTGGCTTCTGCTATTTTCTGTTGTTATTTCTTTCGTTTGCTCTTGATTTTGTGTTTGTGTTCTTGATTTCCGTCCTTCTGTCTTTCTGTCTTTCTTTCTTTCTTTCTTTCAGTCTGTCGTTCTTTCTTTCAGTCTTTCTTTCTTTCTTTCAGTCTTTCTGCCGGTCTGTCTTTCTATCTGTCTGTCTTTCTCTCCCTCTCTTGCTTTCTTTGGCTCTCTCTATCTCTCTGTGGGCACCCTCGCTCCGCTGTGCCATCCTCATGCATGAGAGAGTGACGCAAGGCACGGAGCGTCCTTGGTGAACTATGCCGAACACCTCTGTGTACTGCCCTATTCCATTGCAGCGACAAGCTGAGAACGCGGAATCAACATGGAAGGCTGATCTGCACTCCAGCTTTGCTCGCATGCCCTGCATGCCGCTCGAACGAGCGTTCATTCCAAATGGTTGCTGAATACGCCATGGAAGCCCGTCTGTCGGATTTCATGTTGCTCTGTTGCCGTCACCTTGCCTGTGCTGTCGCTTGCGCCCTGTGTTGTATGTTGTTGCCAACTTTGAATTTGATGGTTCTTGCGATTTTCGCCATTAAGCCATTTTGTCTTCGTCCAACTCTTGACTACTTTGCAAATTGTATATTCGAATCTTGACTGGGCAACCGTACGCACAGTATTGCCCTCACTCTTTGGCAGCCAAAGCAAGCTCAAACAACGCCACGCAAATCATACAGGCTCTTCTTGGTTGGGGGGAATGCTTCGCTGGCCTCCAACATTGCAAGCTACAAGTCGCTTCATCTTCACTCCTTTTTGTGCCTCCCGTCGCGCTGTGTGGCTTGATACCTGGCAAGGCTTGCTCATGTGAAGCTATCCGGTGCCGCCCCCACTGGTCGATCGAACCCACAGTGAAAACACGAAGCGTGGCTCGTTGTCTATTTGAGACTCATTGAAGTTACACATGAAATTCGACTCATTATTTGTGTATCTTTGAGTCACAAGCAAAACCTGGTAGTAAAATGGTCTACCCAGAACCATGTAAAGGATTTAGAAGGTGGCCGCAGCCAATTCCGGCGACTGCCCCTTAACCTTCATCTACCGGGTTTTCAAATTGCACGGTCCAACTGGCACCAGTTGCTCGTCGTTCGTTAGGCCTCCAAGCTCGGTATGTCAGATATCGAGGGCCCCTTTATTCGGGGGCCCCTGTGCTTGCTATGTGTTCACCCTCCCTTCGGCTTCGGGGCGGAGTTGCCTCTCTGCTTTCAGCTTCAAATCGGAATGGCCTCTTGCACCTTGCAAGCCAAATGCAGCTTTGGGCACTCTCCAAGGGATTGTCCCACAACCTTTTTAAGCACGTGCCGGCACTTTGCCACCGAGTTGTTGGCGTCCTACTGCACCTTGTAGATCGTGACGTGCACCGAGCGGTTCTCAGGCGAGCGTGGCATACCAGGTGGTTGTGGGTACCAAGTTTGATCCACGTCAAGATGCGCTCCAATCCACAAATGGTCGACCATCAAGGCACTTGACATGAAGAATGCGAGGCGTAATATGCACGTCCTGATACGCGCGGCGGATCTCTTGGGAATGACGAGCCCAGGCATCTTCGTCAACTTCACAGGGCCCGTCTGCATTGCAGCTGCGTGCCCGAGCTTTGTCCGTCAAAAAGGCAACTTTGTCCAAGGCCTTCGGAAGCACCTTGGGCTCTGATTCCTCTCTCCCCTTGAAGAGTGCCACCGCCATCCAGTCCTCGATTCTGTCGGCAGCAAACTCCCTCAAAGAAACCACTCGAAAATCATACTTAGGGCTGTGCTGCAAATACCACAGAAAGTGCGGAGCACCCGGCTTCAGCACGTTGTCGGCCAGCACGGCACAGCCGGGCTTCAACAAGCTCTCAGCTTCCAGCATCCAAAGATCAGTATGAAATCGGGTCCCGCGCTGGTCGAAGAAAATGGCGTCTGCTTGAGCTGCACACATGTTTTTCAAATGAGGTATCACATCCTCGCTATACCCGATGCAAATGTCGACATGATCCGCCACTCCAGCAAACTCAATCACGTTCCTCGCAATGCAGGCATGTATTGGGTCTACCTCCACGGAGATCACTTTTCCCTGAACTCTGCGCAGCCAGTAGGCCATCCTAGTGCTGGAATAGCCAACAAAGCAACCAAACTCCAGCACCAGGGAAGGAGGTTGAGGTGCCAGCGACCGAATCAAGTCATCTAGCACCACACCCTTGCCACCTCCTGCAATTTTCAGCCAGCCGTTCCCTTCGATTGAGAAGCGCTCAATGGTGTTCACCACAGACCAGGCATCACCCACCTGGGCGGTGGCAAGCACGTGCTGCAGCAACCTGCATTGCTTGTCATAGCTGGTGCCAGTGTGTCCCAAAGGTTGGGTTGGCATTTTCCACGTCAGCTGCAAGGGGCTGTGCCGCTCTGTAAAGTGACCGCACAGCAGTTTTTGCAGGACCCCCTGGGCGATCGCGTCCTCCGAAACACGCAGCAAGTCTTGAAGCAACAGCTTGGCGTCATGACAGAAGCCCATCTCTGCCAGGCGCAAAGCTGCAGCCTTCAAAACCGCCAGCTGCACATGACGGCAAGGCTGAAACCAGGCCAGCATTGACAAGGCCTCCATCTCCCGCAGTATGGAAGGCTGCAAGTCCCGGCAGTGATGCAACCAGAGGCTCAGCGCATTGATCCCCGGATCTATGTCAAGCTGCCGCAGCCGCTGGAATAGCCTCCAGGCCTGCTCCGGCTCAAAGGTCATGAGGGCTCGAGTCACCATAGCTAACACTTTCTCATTGAACCGCATCAGACTGCTATCGTCACCGATGAGCTCCGACACCTTGCCATGCAAGGCATCAGACGCTCGCAAGTAGGCGGCACCCCACGCAGCGTTGCCCACGCTCTGCGGGTCGAAGCTCTGCAGCTGCCTCGACGCTTCTGCGGCCAGCAGTTCCGTGAGCTCCTGATCCCGGTACACCACTGTGGCACAGGACCACAAGCAGCATGCCAAGTCTTGCGGTGCAAAGCCTCGAACCGACTTCTTCACGCTCTCAGCCAGGAGTCCATAGAAAGGAGCGTCATAGAAGAAGACGGAGGCTAAGGCCCACAACATGTTCGAAGCATGCTGTGGCTTGATGGGACCATCACGGAGCTTTTGTGAGGCTGCCGCCATCCAAACATTTATGAACTCATCGCTGCGGTGCAGCATAGTGCTAAAGGCCCAAATGCTTGTTGATAGGTCTTGCTCGGACAAGGAGTAGATCCTCGCCCTTTCAGAAGCTTCGATAAACTCAATAACCCTCTCATCACTGAAGCCCAGCTTTGCATAAGACCAAACAAAATTGGCAGTGCTCTGACAACTGCACTCCTGGACAATTGTCCTGATCCTGCCGACAATGCATGCCACTGCAGGCTGATTCTTGTACATGGTAGTGGCAAAAGACCACATAAAGTTTGCTGCCTCTTGAGGCTTAAACTCGCGAATTCGTGAATGCATGGATAAGCACATGAAGTCGAAGGCAGGTGCATGCGTGTAGCTGAGCGAAGCCTGCAGAGCACCCGCACACGTTCCAACGGCCAAACTTGAATGTTCACGTCTAATGGCAGAAGTTTTAAAAAAGGGGCTTGGGGTACAACAAGCCCATTGGAGTCATAATCAAAGCCAGGTACGTAGAATAATCATTGGAGGCGGCACGTCCATTTCTGATTGGGACTGTCAGGGTCCTCGCTTGCTAGAGGACATGGGAAATTCAGCTGGGAATGAGTTGGAATGATGCCTATAAACCATCCCATGTGGTTTCCTTTAAGGGAATTGCAGGTTCATTCAAAAAACCCTTTATCATTCCCAGCTGAGCACCAACAAGTTAGAGCTCATCCCATCAAATGGACCATAGACCCCAATGTTTGTTCAAGTAAAGCTCAGCAATGTCAAAAGATCATTCCGAGCGGCGAGTGACCAGGCTGTGTTGGAAACATGTTGTGGCTGCAATGGTGTGGACTCTGCTCGTTTCTGGAGTTCGTGCAGTGCAGCTGCCACAAAGGTGTCGCCAACCCGGTGCTGCATTGTGGCAAAGGCCCAAAGAGTAGTCGTAAGGTCCTGCAAAGGCACAGGTCAATACTCACAAATACCCCTCCTCCCAGTAATAAAGCATTTGTGGGAGGGTGCCTGAGATGAATGTTTCAAGGCACTGTCATCGGTGTTTTGAGGGTCCCTTTTCAGGACAAGGTACAAAAAGGGCCAGGCCCTACTTTTCGAAAATATGACTGGATTGTCTTGATTTGGATCAAGTGCTGCTAAATCCGGCGCTGTGATGCCAAGGCCGGTTGGGCATCAACGCAATCTGAAAGACTTGTAGGAAAGTTTTGGCTAGGATGAGGACTGTCCTGGGCGGAGAAGGTGGAAAGACTACGGAGAGACATCTGCAAGACGCTCAAAGCTACATCCTCGTCTTTGTAGCCAAGCTTGGCATAAGCCCAAATAAAATTCGACAGATTCTGAGTTCGAAACTCGGCGAGAGTCAGAGTTGCCTGGATTGTGATGCTTTTTGCCAGCTCGTCTTGGCAAGAAAGAATTGCCATGGCCCAAATACTGTTGGCACACTCCTGCGGCTTGAACTCAAACACGTACTTTGATGCGCACGGCAAGAGTCGGTGCATGACGCCCTCAAGAGCAAGGGAAAGCGCGGCAAGGGACCACATCGTGTTGGCAGCATCTTGACAAGAAAAATCCTCGATCTGCTCCTGCACAAGAAAGAGCATCAGGGGAGCAGTACCGTAGCGCAGAGTTGCAAACGCCCAGGCCAGATTGGAGACCTCTTGAGGTTTCAGCTCTGCAGCCTTCATATACCTTGGTCACTGTTCCCTAAACCTTTTTTCTTTCATCTTTGGACAACCACTCTCATTTTAGGCAACAAACTATGTGTACCAACATTGACCCGTAGCTCAGCTGTTCAGTGACCCTGGGAAAGAAAGGGAACCCTTTTTGGGGAAGACCATTTTTTGTGGGGCAGCCACCAAAAAAAAGTTGGAAAAGAATTGGTGCCACTGAACAACTGAGGTAGAGATACACCAGCTCTTCAGAGAGATCCAAGAAGGGCTTCTCCCGACATGAGATGCATGCCATGGCCCAGGCCGTGTTCGCCAGGTTCCGCGCCTCCCCAGATGCGAGCCGTTGGAGCGCCAAGTCTTTGAGGTGCTGCCACCGGGCGTCGCTCAAGTTAGGTCTCTGCGCTTTCCTTGGGACACGTTTTGCAACTGAGTCAACTTGAGGGAAATGTCAATTTCGCAACGAAAAAAAAGAAAAGAAAAAAGAAGAAAAAAACAGAGCCACCAAGGGCCAAGTTTCTGCTTCACTTTGCAGGCAAAGGCATGCAAGGCGGTGGACACCGACACGGTATCCCAGCCCTGGCCGCGCCGGGCGGCCAGGTTCAGAATGCCCTCAACGTCAGCGCCCCGCAGCTCATCACGCAGCGCCCGGTTGCGGCGCCGCACCTCCTGCGCGTAGTAGGAAAAGGCTTTTGGGCGTTCCGGGCGCGGAGTCGCCGAGTAGTACGAGGTCATCGGCCTCCCTGTTGTCCGCCGACATTGCCCAGCCTACCCTGCGTGCCCAAGGTTGCGCTGGCTTGGACGACATCGGCAGTCAGGTTTAATGCTCCCTGGTGAGCCTTTCGGCTGAGGCAACTTGCGATGTGTCGAATGAAGACCCCCTCTGTCTTGAAGCTGAGCAAGCATGCCACAACATTGCGACCTTGGGCCCGGCGCCTGCACGCCAAGAGCCGCTGGAAGCAAGCCTGCTCCATCGCCTACAAGCCACGAGCCAAACGACGGACCATGTTCCCACAACTTGTCGCTCGAAGCTTGTCAAGTCGCCCGCGCTGTCGCTTGCCAAGAGTCTAAAACAAAATCAAAGCATCCAGACATCGGAAATCTGCATTCTACGGAATGCCTCAAAAGAACGTGCTGGCTCCGCTCACCCGCAATTCTGACTTCTCCGACAGATGTGAGGAGCAATTGGCATGCCCATGTGAGCGGCACTGCAAACCCATCACCTGCTTTCTTGGGGTGGAATAACTCCCTTCCTACCCTCATCTCGACTTCTGGAATGAGTAGCTATTGCATCCCAGGAAAAAGCTTGACAGTTCATCAGTTATTCTTGCCTTCACCTCTTCAGTAATTTTCCGTGCCAAACGCTGGAAGCGCCTCAGAAGCAAGCGTTGATCAGTGGCCAAAGACATGACTGCGTCGATTTTGATGCTATTCACACTGGGGCTGTTCTGAGGGAAACCACAACAAAAACAGCCATCTTGGGGATTCCCCCATGTGCAGACAAACACCAGGGAGCAACGCCAAAAACCTATTGATGCTTGGTTCTGCCAAGAAAGGTGCTCCAGGCTTACACACCACATCCAGTGCAGGTTTTGGGCGCAGCTGTTCTGGTGGAACATCAGGAGGGCCAACCGCCTAGTGAGAGTCTTGGCTCAACACCGCTGCATCTCCCGAATCAGAGCGATGAAAGCGGCCTGGCACGAGCCCTTCATTCCGTCCATGCCCCCAAATTGTCAAGGCAGGCGCTCACGAGGGCTTTTGGCAAGCCGGACCACTTCGTCAGCTACATGAATCGTGTCGCGAGATGACTTGAAGTCTTGTTGGGCCACTCAGGTCTTGTCTGACCTTTGAGGGTTCCCGGCTCTTTGCCTTTGGACACTGAGTGAGACAAGGGCTATGCCCCTTTCAAGGCTCTCAGGCTGGCCAAGCTTGCTGCGGGCGGCCTGGAGCCAATGCCGCGACCAAGAACCGCAAAACCCGAACCTCTGAGAGGGGTGGATAAGCCTCCGGGTCAGGGATGCGGGGGATGAGGTCTCTGTGCCCTTATGATTGTTTTCGATCGGTACATCCAGAGCCCTCCACTCCCTGGGAGCGGCACCGATGACCTGCCCAGCTGAAACCGTGACAGCTTGCCTGGCACGCCGGATGCGAACGTGCACAACCGCACGTGGCAAAGGCAAATCACAACCAAGTCGGTGCCAAATATGGGTGCAAGGGCCTCCATTGATTGGGAATGCCCGCAATGCCCACTATGCAGGTGTGAAAGCGATACAATGATGCAACGATGCGACTTTGCTCATAATCATGTTGGGGGGCATTGCTCATGTTTTATGATCCCTCGCCATGAATTTCGATGGACCAATGGAACCATGTGAAAGGTGTCCACAGGGTTCCCAATGGGCAGTGGCTCAAGCAAATGTACCAAAATTGGTACATAAACCTCCAGGTGAACCAAAATGGCAGCTTAAAAGGAAGCACACCTGCGCAACCTTCGCTCCTTACCTTTGAGTACACAACGGCTCACCTCGTTGGCGCAGCTGCCGGGGCTGGAGAAGCTTCCTGCCGGTGCATGTGCGGTTCCTTGTTTGGAGGCGACCCCCTTTGCGGTTTTTGAGGGAAACCAAGAAGAAACCACAATTTTGGGCTGGGGCACCCCCATGTAGTAGCTGAAGGTGTGTTTTGTGAGGCTCGGTACCCTTCCGCTACTGCTATTTGGTTCTATTTTGCGGACCCATGGCATGTGGAAATTTGGAAGGCCACGACATTCGCATTTGCCCCCAGTTCCGAGAAGGGTGTGTCTTCTGTTTGGGGTACGGTTTTCCTTTGGGTTTCCCTTCCAACCACAACAAAGGGGCACCCTCGAAAGAAGGAGCCACACCCAGAAAGACCCACCTACAGCACCAAGCGAGTCCTCTCCAGCTTCCAGATTGGCCTCAAGCTCAAACATACTTTAAGGGGCGATCGGGTACGTCAAGTAAGTGGTTCGTAAGCCTGGGTAAAATCCGCGGAACAGAGACTTATAACCATGGTACGTGGGTTATACCAGGCTTACTAACCACTTACCTGACGTACAGTTCGCCTTGAAGTTCTGTGCTGAAAGCCCAGGGATGACAGCTTCTGGCTCACTTTTCTGTTCTGACTCGTTGAGGGTAAACTTCTGGCGTGAGACAATATGTTTTAAGGGTGGCAAAAACAGCGCAGATGTGTTGAAGTGGAGACTAAGCTTATCCTGTACGCGCATGCAATCCTAGCACTCGTGATTGATTGTTTGAAATTGCCAGGACGGCTCCAACCTCTGGAACAATAAGAGGCTAATCGAGCGTGGCCCCAGACTGCTTGCGAATGTTCCGCAGTCTCCCTGTCGCATTGATTGGGATCGAGCTGTCTGCCTCAACTGAAATACAGGCGGCATGATGTATGGTGTCACTGTACGGTCAAGCTGAATCTGCCTTTTGCTCTGCGAATCAAAATGCCCAAATATGAGCATGCTGAGAGCAGAGCTGCCGCCGTTGCCAGAGTTGGGTCGCACTTACCTCACACTATGGCTGACCCAAGGCATGTGTTGTGGAAGCTTGGACCCAGGCAAAGCGGGCAGGATCTGGGAATGAAGCGATTCGCAGAGAACCACTTGTCAATGCACGCCTTCCGGCCATGCGCATGGTGCTTCAGGCAGCTTCATTGACTCAGTGCCTGGTGAAAATAGTGTCGACAAGGCAACTTTCGCAACATGTCCTGCCGCTTGGGCAGCTCCAGAGGCGAACTCTGAAGATTTGAGCCGCGTCCTCCTCCTTGTAGGCTTCAAGGCAAAGGCAGCACTCTTCGCTGCTGCGCTTCCGGCCAACCTCAAATTCCACCATTTTTCCAGTTCAAGGCCCGGCAACCTATGGAGTTGGGGCAAATCGAAAGCAGGCACAGAGCACCTCATCTTCCTCCCGCCAGCGCTCAACGGGCAAGGCCTGAGCGCACAGTCTGGCAGCCAACCACGGTGGCTTTGTTCGAAACGTGCAGCAACATGTGGGTATGGGTCAAAATCTAACCACCAGAAAAACCGCAGGCTTTTGTCCTTGGTTCCATTTACCAGGGTTCCATTTTGGGTACCTATTTTTGACCCACAGCCATGTATACATCAGGCCTGCAAGCAGGCCACAACTTGCTGCTCCTGCATACGCACCTGTGCTTCGGTGGCATGATTGCAGCCACTTGCTCTCTCTTTGGCTGGCGGATTCCATTTGACTCGCAGTCTTGGCCAGGGGCAAGCTCCGATCTTAGAATGATCTGCGACTGCTGCATGATGAGGTCCTGATAAGTTCAACTTGCCACAGGTCACCTACCCTGATTGCACAAGGCAACTCCTGGTGTCTTCTTGCCTTGCAGTAACAAATCATGTAGACCTCAGAACAGCCATGGGCCACTCATTATCTGCTTGCAGTCGGGCCCTTTCCCGCGGCATCTTGCGGCATCCGGCCCTTTCCGAAGCCCCGGCCGGCGTCAAGGAAATGGCGAAGCCCAGCACTATGAAGGCTGCGAGCACCTGACGTCCATTGGATTTTGGGGGGTCCAATTGACTCCGAGATCGGAAAACCGGTGATCGTTTGTCCGCCAGGTTCGGAGGGGTTGCCCACTAAAACCCTTGCCATGTCCGCCATCCAGAGGTCCTGACGCAGGCATAGCCCACCTTGGAAGCTTCTGAAACCACCCCATGTAGAAGCCATCTCCCAAGCGAGCGGCAGGTGAAAACCAGGTCTCGCCGATCTGTGTGCCATAGGGCCTGGCAGCAGCAGGTGGACACGATGTCAGAACCATGCACGCATGATGCAGAAGTCAAAGCCTGCAACATCTGAAACTGGAAGAGAGAAGGTGCACTCAAGCCTACAAGCGTATTTCATCCAAATATTGGTCCTTGGCTGCACACTGTTCTGTCGAATCCAGTTCGATCTGCCGGAATTGCCATATTGGAGTTGTCAGCGCTTGCAGACAAGTCTCTCATTGCTCAAAGCGCTCAAAACAAGCAAAGCCTCTGAGGTACCTGAAAGCGCCTGAGTGCTGACAGCTGCAACAAATCATATTCCCTTGGACATCGCTCTGAGCTTTGTGCCATGGCTTGCGGTAGGCTGTGGCTGCGGTGGAAGGATGCTACTCGGGTTGAAGCTTGCATGCTTCCAGACCTATCAGACCCGGCCCAGCAACTGACTGCATCTGACTGCGTCTGACTGCGTCTGGCTGCGTCTGACTGCTGCCGAGGCTGCTGCCCGTACAGGGTAAGCGCGTCGTAGCCTGTACCAAATCCAACAGAAATCGAGAACGCCGAAATCAAGCAAGGGCGCGCACCTATGAAGCTGGGTTGCGCCATCAGCTGGAATTCGATACCCTCAGAAAGCTGGGACTAACCAAGCTTTACCTGTCCGTTCCTTTAGACTCGAGGCTCAGGCTTCAAGACTGAGGCCCGGCAGAATGTGCCAGGCACAGCCTTCCCTGCAGAGTTTTGTTCCCCCCCCGAATTCACGCCATCGCCATGGAGATTCGTTGAATTCGGCCAGCGAGGCTCGGAGTCTGAGCTGCCGCCCCTTCCACGGATCTCACCTAACAGGCGGGAACTGAAGACTTTCCTTCCGAGCCTTGCATCCGCCTTCCAGCTCCGTCAGCACCTTGATACCTTACGCGTTGGGATTGAACCGGTCCCCCCCGAAGATTTGCCATGGAATGCTGAGCCAGGCACGGCAAATGAACGGTTGCTGGGCATTTGCATTCAAGACCACGGCACCTCGAAATCTTGCGAGCACCACACCGGCAGGTGTGGAAGGGGGCGAACAGAGGACAGCGCAGAGTGCCAAAAGCCAGCGAGCCTCACAAAACCACGGTGAATCATGCAGCGTGTGTCTCATGGGGGCTGGGGGAGAGGGGAGGGGTAGGGAGCCCAAATAAGGCCCTATTAAGCCCCTAATAAGGGCCTTATTGGGGCTCCCCCCCCCATGAGTGTCTCACCAAGGCAGGCGCTGATCTCATGTCATTGCTCACACGCCATGCCCTATTGCCCGTGCATGAATGCAACAACTGGCATTGCAAGACTTGTGCAGACTCTCACTGGTCTCATCTGGTTGCTTAGCCGCACGTTGATTCGGCCCTACGGCTGAAAATGTCTTTCCCCTGCATGGCATCTAACTTGAACTGATTGGCTCCGGACTCCAGACCCCACCGAGGCTCAGCTTGACAGCCAAGCCACTCAAATCTGGAGAAGACATCCACGGGTATGCTCTAAGAATCTTGGAGTACAACGAAGAACTTCAGCTGGAGACCACGAAACATGCGTCTGACTTTTGAGGGCACCCCTTTTCGGGTGGTTTCCCCCAACCACGTTTATTGTCTTTCTTTCTTGTCTTTTTTTATGAACAAGAGTTTCTTTAGACGATGAATCTCCATTTAAAAAATACACGGTGCTGATCCCCTAGTGTTTTCATTGCCAAAGAATCACAGCCTGCCATGGCCTCAGCTCCGGCGCGCAGCCGCAACAAACATCGTGCCTGGATGGTCCCAAGGGAAACAAAACTCCCAGCAAACTTGGGTCTCACTTTTTTTGGCGGGGTACCCATGTTTGGTGGTTTTAATGGGAAACCATAAAGGAAAGCCACTACATGGGGGGGTCCCTAATGCCCTAAGTATATATATATAGTTGCATTCTACATCATATATCATAGGCCAGAAGTTCTTCATCACAGCTCTCCGTCTCTCTCGGTATATCCACCGACCCCTTCTGCCAAAAAGGGAGGCGCACGGCAAGGGCGTGTTCATCCCAGCCATCTGAATCAGACAACAAAGAACTGACAAGCTTCAGAAATCCGCCGACCCTTTTGCAAAAGCCATGTTAGTCTCTGCAAAGGGGCGAGGCGTGTTCTAAGCGGTGGTTAGGGGGAGTCTGAGGGGGGGAGGGGGGTTCCCGCGGCGAATTTTTGACATCCCTAACCCTAACCTCGAACCCTAACCTCTAACCCAAACCTCTAACCCTAACCTCTAACCCTAACCCTAACCTCTAACCCCAACCTCTGACCCTAACCTTTAACCCTAACCTGTAACCTTAACTTCTAACCTTAACCTCTAACCTTAACTTCTATCCTTAATTTTTACGTAACCTCTAACCCTAACCTCTGAACCTAACCTCTAACCCTAACCTATTAACCTCTAACCTTAACCTCTAATCCTAACCTCTAACCCTAACCAACCCTAACCTCTAACCCTAACCTCTAGCCTTAACTTCTAACCTTAACCTCTATCACTAACCTCTAGCCCTAACCTCTAACCCTAACCCCTAACCTCTACCCTAACCCCTACCTCTAACCCTAACCTCTAACCCTAACCTCTAGCCCCAACCTCCTAACCTCTAACCTCGATGATGGAAGACTACCTGAAGATGGCGGAAGACTACGGGAAGATGACGGCAGACTACGTGAAGACGGCGGAAGACTACCGGAAGATGACGGAAGACTACGGGAAGATGACGCAACACTGCGGGAATATGACGGAAGACTACGGGAAGCTGACGGGAAGATGACGGAAGACTACGGGAAGATGATGGAAGACTATGGAAATATGACGGAAGTCTACGCGAAGATGACGGAAAACTACGGGAAGATGACGGAAGACTACTGGAAGATGGCGGAAGACTACGGGAAGACTACGGGAAGATGACGGAAAGCTGACGGAAGACTGCGGGAACATGACGGAAGACTACGGGAAGATGACGAGAAAATGACGGAAGACCACGGGAAGATGACGGAAGACTACGGGAAGATGACAGAAGACAGCGGGAAGATGACGGAAAACTACGGGAAAATGACGGAAGACTACGGGAAGATGACGGGAACCTCTAGCCCTAACCTCTAACCCTGAAATCTAACCCTAACCTCTAACCCCTAACCCTAACCTCTAACCCTAACCTCTCACACTCTAACCTAACCTCTAACCTCTACGAGAAAATGACGGAAGACTACGGAAACATGACGGAAGACTACGGGAAGATGACGGAAGACTACGGGAAGCTGACGGGAAGATGACGGAAGACTACGGGAAGATGGCGGAAGTCTACGCGAAGATGACGGAAAACTACGGGAAGATGACGGAAGACTACTGGAAGATGACGGAAGACTACGGGAAGACTACGGGAAGATGACGGAAAGCTGACGGAAGACTGCGGGAACATGACGGAAGACTACGGCAAGATGACGAGAAAATGACGGAAGACCACGGGAAGATGACGGAAGACTACGGGAAGATGACAGAAGACAGCGGGAAGATGACGGAAAACTACGGGAAAATGACGGAAGACTACGGGAAGATGACGGGAACCTCTAGCCCTAACCTCTAACCCTGAAATCTAACCCTAACCTCTAACCCCTAACCCTAACCTCTAACCCTAACCTCTCACACTCTAACCTAACCTCTAACCTGTACGAGAAAATGACGGAAGACTACGGGAAGCTGACGGGAAGATGACGGAAGACTACGGGAAGATGGCGGAAGACTACACGAAGATGACGGAAGACTACGGAAAGATGACGGGAAGACTCGTGGGGCGGTGAAAACTCTAACCCTAACCTCCAACCCTGATGATGACGAAGACGATAATGATGATGATTAACGATGATGGTGATGATGACGATGCCGATAATGATGATGATGATGATGGCGACGGAGGAGGATGATGATGCCGGTGATGATGGATGATGATGGTGATGATGATGATGATGATGATGATGATGATGAATGATGATGATGGTGCTGGCGATGATGATTAATGATGACGATGATGCCGATGACGATGATGGTGATGATGATGCTGATGATGCTCAGGATGATGACGATGATGATGATGAGGATGATGGATGATGATGGTGATGATGATTATGATTGATGATGATGATGATGATGATGATGATGATGATGATGATGATGATGATGGTAATGATGATGAATGATGATGAAGGATGATGACGATGGATGATGATGAATGATGAAGATAATGGTGATGGTGATGGGTGATGATGATGATGCTGATGCTGATGGTGATGATAGTGATGATGAATGATGATGGTGAGAATGATGATTATGAGGATACTGTTGATGATGCTCAGGGTAATGAATGATGATAATGATGAAAGATGATGAGCGTTGCTGATGATGGATGATGATGATGACGGTGATGATGATGGTGATGATAATGACGACGATAGTAGTGATGGCGATGAAAATGATGATGAATGATAACGGTGTTAATGATGATGATGGCTGATGCTGATGATGCTCAGGATGATGACGATGATGGCGATGACGGATTATTATGATGATGATGATGATGGATGATGATGATGAATGATGATCATGATGATGATGATGGATGGTGAAAAGGATGATGATGACGATGATGATGATGATGCTGATGGTGATGATGATGATGAATGGTGATGCTGATGACGATGATGATGATGATGCTGATGCCAATGATGATGATAATGATGATGATGATAACGATGATGATACTGAGGGGCCAAATTGCATCGTGTTTCAATCCCCGGGCCCTGGCGCGTAACCCCTGTTCCTTGGGGGTCGGCGGCATCAGGCGTCAGCCTGCTAAATCCGGCTACGCCTCCTGGGGTAGCATGTCGCCGCTAGGCAAGTAGCCTGCTAGCTTTAGCTATAGGGGCTGCACCCTGGCGCCGCCGACCCTTGTCACTTGGTCGTGATGCGTGGCCTAAATCCGGCACCTCTGCATCACCAGCTCGGGCTTGCGGTTTTGCTTGCCTGTGAAACCCTCGCAAAACATTGCGTATATGCAGGGTTTAGGCCATGTGGCTGACATCATCAGGGTCTGGGGTTGGGCCTGGGTGATGCTTCAGCGGGGCTTGTCTGCATGACTTCCTTCCAAAAAGCCTCTCTACCAAAAAAGCACTGTTTTTTTAGAAGGTGTCGGAGGGATATAAGCGAGGCTCGTTTTCGCGCATTTTGGCGACAAGCGCTGCCGGGCATGCCGGCGATGCTGGGTCCTCGCTCTACAAAACGCTGTAAATACCGTCAAAAACTGCTGTGCTGAGCGGTGGGCTGTTGTTCTGTCCGCTTTGCTTTTGCTGTGGCTGGCTCGCGTGCTGCGCGGTCCTTGTGTTTTTTCCCGCTCGTTTTCGGGCCTTCTGGCGCGCGCGCGCGCGCGACCCCAGCCACAAAACGCTGCTATTTACGGTGTTTTATTGCATTTGCGTTTCCGGGCTGGCTTGCGGGCTGCTCTTTTTGGGCTGCTCTTTCTGGGGCCTCTGGCGCGCGCGCGACCCCATGTCAGCCTTCTGGGTTGGGGCCCGGCTGGGGCCAAGAAAGCTGGCATCCCCGGCATCATCTGGGGTTGGGGTGGGCAACATGCATAACCTAACCATCCATATCATAGCACAGGATACGTTTCTAAACATGACATGACGTGGTATAACTTCAAAGAGGCGTAGCCGGCTAGAGGCCGCAGGCCCAGAAAATACCAAAAGGGCTCTTCTAGCAATTGATACCAAGCTCCCCCAGCCTGGAGCTCCTTTCTCAGCCCGCAGGGCCCAGCAAGGCTATGTCAAGGGATTAGGCCTGCGAGGCAAGCATTGGAAGCAGCGGCAATCATCAACTCCGGCAAGACTCAGCAATGCCAACGAAACAGCCAACACATGTCCACACATGCTGCCCACGCTACAAATTGGAAACACGTGGCCACTAACAAAGTCTGTCATGTTGCGCCGGTGAAAATGTGGAGACCAGCGCCTCTCGATCCAGGGCAAAAAGCCTCGGACAAATGCAAACAGCTATGTCTGCGGATTCCGAAATGGAACGGCTTGCAACAACCATCAAGTAATTTCTGCTTGGACATTGAATTCCAGCTGTTTGAGGATGTTGCTTCTTTGTTGGGGGGCAATCACCTGTCGGTGCTGAGATCTCTTGGTAGCTATGCTGCTTTCAGTTCAATTGTTCCAAGGCTTCCAACAAATTATCTTTGGGGGCAGCATTGCCCTTGTTGCAACGCGCCATGATGTATCGGATTGAGCTTCCTGTTGGAAGCGGCCCACGAGCCTAGCGTCCCACTTCGTGGTACCACCATTGGCCTTGTGGACAAAAAGTGAAAAGCAACCAAGGTAGAACTTGGCAGTTTGGCCTAAGACTCCTAGGCTGCCTTGGCGTCCGAGTCAGCCTTCTCCGTCTTCTCGGTCTTCTCTTTCGCTTCGGCTTCAGCCTTCTCGGCTTTCTCCGTTTTCGCAGTTGCCTCCTTCTCGTTGAGCTCTTTCAACTTTGCCTTTAGCACCTCGAGGGCCTTGTCGTATTGCTCCTTGGTGAGAATCTTCTGCTTGGCTTCACCCTCAAAAAGCGTGGCCTCTCCATCTTCTTTCAGAGCTGCTTCGGACTTCTCGATCATTTTGGTCAGCTGTTCTTTGTTGCTTTTGATTGCGACTGCCGCCCCTGCCATGAGCGTAGCCTTCAATGCAATCGTTTGCTTGTGGTCAGCTGCCTCTTGCATGCTCTCCCGTGGGTTCTCCTTGCATATCAATGCCATCTGTGGCATGAGGCCTTTCAGCTTCTCAATGCCGGCAGCCAGTTGCTTCCCAAGCTCGGAGTCAGGGTCGACGTCCAATCCTTCCTGAAACTTCTTCAGCTTTGACTCCAGTTGCTCCACGGGCGTGGCAGTCCCCTCAATGATGAAATGTGGACAAGTGAAGCCAAGCATTCCATAGGTGGCTATGACCCCGTCTGCTAGGTCCGTGCTAAACTTCAAGTCACTCAGGACGCCATATTGCTCCTTGTCATTTGCAGCTTTCTTCGCAGCTGCCACCATTGGCTTCGCCTTTTCAAGAACCGCATCCTTAAACTTGCTCATCTTTGGCATGCTTCCCAATTTTTCTTCCACAAACTGGACCAGGCCCTCGATCTCTCGAGGTCGGACCCTTCCCTCCTTGATCTGACCTTCCCAGCTCTGAAGTTGGTCGAAGATTTGGATGCAACCGTCGTCCACTGCTTCGGTCCAATCTCCTCCCTCTCCTTCGGCTGCGGCCTTTAGCTGATCTTTGAACTTGAGAACTTCCTTAGCCTCATCTGAGGAAGCATCTTCAGCCTCCATCTTGGACAGCTTCTCGAGAAATCCCTTTGCGATCTTTGGAGTGCAAATGTCATACCTGGCAGGGAGGGTAAAGGGGGGAGGAGGAGAATGTAGCGCGGCCACCACCAAAAATGAAACCAATACGTTGATCACATATGGACACCATTAAGCATAACGGGTAGAAACTGAAAGTCGCCTGGCCCAGATGCAGTCAATCCGATCTTGACCAACCCCGTCCATACAGCCTTGAGATGTGGAAAGTTAAGTGTGGTTTGACAACCAAGTCTATCCAAGTAGCCTCAGCGACCAAACCGCAGGCTTATATAAATCGCTTAAATGTTAAGACCTGAGCTACACATGGGTGCTGTTCAGTACTGTTTTTTCCAGACAAGGGCATGTTTGTGGAAGAATCAAGCTCGGAATCTTTCGCGACTCATCACTGCGCCCTTTGGTTTGCAGGTTGCGACTTGGACCGCAGCAGCCCGCCCGGCTGCGCTGCAAAAACGGAACTGCTTCATTCGCACATTCGCCACTTGGGCCGAGGCAGGCAACGCGGAGCGTGTAAAGTTTAAGTAAAAAAAAACAAAAACGTTGGGCCATATGTTTGGCAGTATGCCCGACATTGAGCCACAGTATCCACCCCCAAAGAAAACACAGGGCCGAGATGCTCAAAGAGCTGCGCCAAGCGAGCCTCCTTCACGTCTTCCAGAAGCTTCGCCATCCGCACGACTTTTCGCACAGAATGAGTCAAAGGCAGTCTGGCAGTCTGGCAGTCTGCTCGAGCCGTTCTACAGTTAGCGAAACAGTTGCATCCATTTCGCCATCAGTGGACTTGGGGTTGGAGTCCGAGAAGTCAAATCCTTCAAGGAAACGCCCCTATGAACCGATCAGACATCACTCTTTTGAGACCAGAACAGCCAGAAAAATGAGCTGCCGGCATCGAATGCTCGGAGGCCTCGTCCAGGCCTGGCAATCTGTAGCCAGACTCAATTCGCTGTGCCAGTACGCACTCCCAGGACTGGCATGCGGTGATCATGGCTTCTCGAATCGAGCGTCGTAAAGCTCCGCGTGGAATATCCGACTACCGTGGGAGGAGTCAAGAGCTCTGGATTGTAGACCCGTCTCAAGGCGGTTCCTCTGATTGCTTTTTAATCTCCGTCTAATCACTCAGCTTGCTTTGCAAGCCCAGCATTGTGGCAACACTGAGGCGTCTTGCTCCAGCATCAGAACTAAACATCTAACAGGTCTCATCGGGCGGGACACTGGCTCCCTTTCCCTACCTTTGCGCAGCTTCGAAAACCTGGCAAACAAGGTGAGCCCCATCGGTGATTTGACATATGGAACATGGTCCCTAAAACGCCCATGCATTGTGCCGTTGTTCGCTCTGTCAATTAGGCCCGCCTTTGCTCTCAGCAATGCGCTTACGATACTCGTTCACATAGCGCCTGAAGGCGCTCAGATTTGTGGCAGACACGCCAGCAGCATCCAACCCGACCAAGTACGGTACTTGAAAGGCGCATCAGCTTCAGCACCCTCGGCATCTCCTGCAAACATGTGGCTGTTGAGATGGGTTTGGCAGCAAGCACCCCCAGGTTTTTGGCGGGGCCCTTCAAGTCCGGAAATTCGGGATTCGCCAAGTGTGCGCCACATCCGTCATGTGTTCTTATTAGTTGTTTTGTTTTGTTTGTGTGTGTGTGTTAGTGCGGTGTGCATCCAGCATCACCTTACAAACACCTTCCGCCGCGAAGTCGACCGGCCAGATCACGCGAAATGGCGGTGGCTCCTTCTCGGCTCTTTGGCCAACTGATCCAGGGTGCTGACCTTTGATCAGAAGTGCTCGGAATTTGCCACTCAGAATCTTGGCAGCCGGCAATAAAGCCATGGCATCCTGCAAATGTCCATTCCTCAACAAAACGCTGGCCAGCAGTCTGATCAAACGCTCCTTTGAAGCGGTAATGAAGGTACAACAGCTAAGACCTGTGCAGATTACTTCCCAGGTAGAATGGCTTGCCGCAGGCAGCGTCGCCAACCAAAACTACCCAACCTTGCAGTGGAACACTCTTCTATCAAAAAGCTGCGTAGGCCTGATGGTTCAGCAAGCAGGCCTTTTGCACCCGCCCGATGCACATGCTGCACTACCTGGCGACAGGGCAAACGGCACTTTGTACGATGCTCTGCGCATCGTTGGCGGTCTGCACGCGCCTCCTGTGAATGGTAGTAAGACCTTGGCTTTGGAAAGCACCTCTTGACACGATTGCTGCACCAAAGTAATAACTCTGTCACTGAACCGTTCAAAATGCCATGAACACACGTCATCCTTGCTTGTATATGGGAGACAACAAAGGTTGAGGTGTGCGTGAACCTCGATCCAAGTTGCGTGAAAGTTAACCGCGGCGCAACTTGCAGTGGCCTGACACTCCCAGGCGTCACAAGGCATTCACATGGAAAGCATGAATATCCGACAATGCCGTGCATCGAAGCATCCGCGCCTGAGCTGTCGATCCAAGTAGGCCAAGGCGGCTCGCGGACCAGCTTGCGTCCTGATTGCAGCATCTTGTCTGAGGTCAAGGACTCGCTTCAGGCGACACAGATTCACTCACTCACGACCCAGACTGATGTAAGAAAAAAAGAGAGTTTGAATCAAACGTGTTCAAAGGGTTCGCCGCTTGAAGTTTTCAACTCGCGGCGGCTTGCCGTGCTAATGGGAATTTTCTAAGCTCAATTGGAAAGTACACAGAGGGTTGCCGGAGTGGCGCATCTGGTCATGCGGGGGTTGGAAGCGAGCCATTAGGCACGAGGCGAGACACAGGACATTGTCTGAGGGCAGCACTTCCCTGTTCTCTTGCCATGCCTTTTGGAAAGCTTGGTTACACCTGAGTGCCGGGTCAAATCTGACATGATGACACGCACATTGAGGCTGGCGCTATCCCACATATCGAGGAAGGAACCAAAACTCAATTCACCTGCAGCACATGACAACGCGACTCCACTCAAAGGACAGACTCAGTTCTGAGCCGTGCGTTCCGGTCGAACCCTGGAGGCCTTCCCCCTCCTGCAAACTTGTTTGTAGCGAGCACATCGAATTGACCGGTGCTCCGTTGTCCTCTTTGGGGTTCTCTATTGCACAGCGGATGCGATCTCAGCAGATGCCATCGCAAGGAAGCGAAGTGCTCAGCTCCCGAGCTCAGCGCTGAGGAGCGCCGGAGGAAGGCCCAACACCCACAGCCAGCCCTGTGACCACTTGGCTCAGAGCCAATACCCAGAAAAAATGCGAAAGTGAACCAACAGAAAGCAAAACAAACCAAACACCGCCGATGCCCATTGAAACGCATGAGCATGCAAAGGCACAAAACGACAACAAGCGTCACACGCGCACCAACACACACACACACACACAAGTGCAGAACAGCGAAGTATGTGTCAAACGTGCAAAGAAAATGTGGCACCTGTTCAAGCAACACAAGAAACTCTCGTTTCTTGTCTATTTCTGTCTTTTTAAAACAAAGGCAAACCTGGACCAAGCAAACAAGCAAGCGAGTTCGAGAAGGAGCAAGCAAACCAATGAACCATAGAAGCAGGGACAAGCAATTGAAGCGTCAAACTCGTGCACGAACAAAGACATGAAGACAGCTATAAATAAACAAAAACATCAACTGGTAACAACTGAACACGCCAAATGAACAAGCAAACAGAGCGGACACCGACAACTAAGCCACGCCGAAGCGGGCACGGCTCAGGAGCAACTGGCTGCCAAAGCAATCGGATGAAAAGGCGATGATGAATGAGCTCAGCGCAAATGGCCATGGGTCAAAAGCCCGTACCCCCAGTGAACATCCCAATCCTCACTAAGATAGACTAAAATGGGTGGCGTACCTACCCCAGAATCTGAATGAAGCGTGCACAGTTGTTGGGCAACCCTCACTTTGCAGCAGGGTCCCAGCGATTGCCGTTCAATGCCAAGACAGTTATACAACTCTCAAAAACACTTCCGCCAATAGCACAGTACATGGGGTCATCGCATGCATCAAGTGCGCCGAAAAGGGCCGAAATGGTCGTCTTGCAACAATCTTTGCGAACCTTGCTGGCAGTCCGCTCACCTTCAAA